CTCCAAAAAGGTGCATCAATAGATGTCATTGCTTCATTATATGTCTTAGGATCTTCTTGTACTATAAAAGTCTAAAAATCTTCACCAAAATTCTTTTCAACTCTTCTTCTTTTACTCCTCCTAGGTTCTTCATTATCTTGATTGTTTGTTAATAGCTTCCCAACGGCATTTTCACTAATTTGCTTTGGAATTTGATCTCTCAATAGAAAAGTGTTCTAAAAAAATACAACATCACGTGACTCCATAATAGTATTAACAGTAATATCTGAAATTTTTGATTTGATAACTAAAAATCAATATCCAACACTTTTTAACGCATAGCTTATAAAAACACAATCAACGGTTTTAGGTCCAAGCTTTTGTTTTTTATTCTTTGGAACACTCACTTTAGCTAGACACCCCCACACTTTAAGGTATCTTAAATTTGATTTTCTACCTTTCCACAATTCATAAGGAGTCTCATCATAATTTTTATAAGGTACACGATTTAATATATAACATGCTGAAAACAAAGCTTCACCCCATAAATTATTTGCTACACCGGAACTAGAAAGCATCACATTTACCATGTCTAATAATGTCCTATTTTTCCTTTCTGCTACTCCATTAGATTGAGGTGAGAATGACAATGTCTCTTGATGAATAATTCCATGATTTTCAAAATATTCTACCATTTCAGTAGGTTTATATTCACCTCCTCTATCCGACCTTAATATTTTAATTTTCTTCTCTTGTTGATTTTCTACTTCTGATGTATAAATTTTAAAATTTTCAAATATTTCGTCTTTTGTCCTTAATAAATATATATAACAATATTTTGAATAATCATCTATAATAGTTACAAAATATCTTTTTCCACCACATGTCAAGATATTATTTAAATCACAAACATCGCTACGATTCAATTCAAGCAATTTGGTTTCTCTAACTACCGATTTAAAGGCTTTCTAGGTTGTTTTGCTTGAATAGATATTTCACATTTTCCTTGAATTTTAATTTCAGATTTAGGGATTAGTTCTAAACTCGTCATTCTTTTCATTGTATTATAATTTACATGGCCTAATCTTTCATGCCACACACTTGAACATTCAACTTGATAAACCATTGAGTAAGAACTTTTATTATCACTAGGATTAGAAACAATTACATTTAACTTAAAAAGACCTTCACACAAATAACCCTTACCAACAAACAAACCACTCTTACTAATTACAACTTTATTAGACTCAAATACAACTCGATAGCCATGTTGAACTAGCAAGGACCCAATGACTAAATTTTTCCTTATATCAGGCACATGCTTGACACCATCCCATGTAAGAGTCTTTCTCGAAGTAAACATAAGACTAACACGTCCTTCTCCAAGCACACTAGTGATGCTACCATTGCCCATACTCACAGTTCTAGTGTCTGACTCCTGATAAGAGGAAAACAATGACTTATCAGAACACACATGAATATTAGCCCCAGAATCAATCCACCAATCATTTGTTTGATATATCGTATTCACTTCGGGACTATTTGAAATATACCTGTTACTAGGACCAGTCATTGAATCCCTTATAGTCACCACATTGACTTGAGACTTGGGAGTAGCTTGATGACCACGATCTCTATTTGGTTAACCCTTACGGTGGTAGCAATCTTTTGCATAATGATTGGTCTTCCCACATACCCAACAAGATTTTTGATATTTTTTATTTTTGTTTCCATATTGTTTATTGAAATTTGCATGTTTATGAAAATTTGTATTTTTGAAATTTTTGGGTTTTGGCTTAAAAGCTTGATTTTCTACTAGAAGTGCCTTGTTTTGTTTTTCTACACTTGATTTATCTTTTTGAGTCTCTCTATGTTTTTCTTCAATTCTAAGTGAAATTAGCAACTCATCAAAAGAGAATCTTTGAGGCTTTTGTTTTTTGGTATTCTACCAAACTCAGACCAAGAAGGAGGTAATTTTTTAATTAACCCACCAACAAGAAAATTTTCTTGAAAAGTCATGCCCTTCATCTTTAATTCATGGACTATGTTTTGAAACTCATGGACTTGATCCATCTCAGATTTTCCATCTATCATTTGAAAATCAAAGAATTTTTCAGTGTAGTACCTCTCTAGTCCAGCATCTTCAGTACCATATTTTTTATCTATAGTTTCCCAAAGTTCTAGTGCTGATTTAGTAGTGCAAAAAATATCATAGATAGGTTCAGTAAGTGCACTAAGAATTCTGCCATGACACAGGTAGTCTTTTTCTATATCAGAAGGAGATTTTGTTGACTTTTCAGAGACTAAACTTGTACTAGTTCCATCAACAGTAGTTGTTTCATTAGTCTGGACTTGGGTATGTTTATTTTCCTCAGGTTGAGTAGGTTTTTCAAACACAGAAATTAAACCCAAAGTAGTCAACCATAATTTCATTTGTTGTTGTCATCTTCTAAAGTGTTGACCGTTGAACTTCTCAGGTTTGCAAGAATTACATTCAATAGTGCTCATATTTCAAATAAGAGAAATGAATAAACAAATAGAAAAAACAAGTTTGCCTACGTTATTCTAAACTTAATTTTATCTCTTCTTAGATTGTTAGAAAATTAAACATAAAAACACAGATTCATAAATTAAATAAACATGCAAATATATCAAATAAACTCAATCGAACTTAGATAAAAAATAATTTTAGAATAGCCTGGTTTGAGGCGCGAGATGAACGTTGTCCTAAGAAGAGATACGTCCCCTCCGCACAGAGTTTTCTGACGTTCTTTTCCCAAGATACAACAATCCAAGAGAAGATACGGTGTAGGCGTGAATCTCTCTCTAACGAACTAATCTCATCCAAGTTACCCACAAAACACCCCAAAACTAGTAAATAATGAAAGAGAATATGTATATGAAAGATGTTTTTCTATATCAAAGGAAGATTGATCACATGTCTATTTATATATTAATGGATAACCATTATCCTTTAAGGCTATATATATATATATATGAAATGCTTGGCTTCAACGGCTAGTAACTCCAATGTATATATATACGTATTAATGATATATGTAGTTATTACATATAACTCCCCCTAAAGAATTTCAACAATCAAAAATTAAAATCATTTAAAATCATAATCATAAAATAAACGTGGGGCTGAAATTATTAATATGAATAAATGATAATAAAATTTAATTTTAAATCAGTTGTCACTCTATAGCGTCTCTATATGAACACAAAGCAGTGTTTGTAGTGGACAAGCAATAAAATCAAATTTTCACTTTATGGTGTCTCTTTATTGTATGTGTTTGATTGCAATGTGGTAGCCTTAAAGTGTAACAACAAAGAGTGACTCCAACCATTACTCCCAAAAATTAAAGTTTGGTACTCAATTCTCAAATCTAGGCTAATAGTGTGACAACAAAGAGTGAATGTGCTCAAACCACAAAGCTAACCTAATTGTATGACAACACAAAGTGAATCCACACTTAACATATAAACTATGAAAATTAGTACTTAATTCAATTAGTAATTGTGATAATCTGATAGAAAAGAGTGCATCCACACATAAATAGAAAAAATTGAAAACTGGCACTCAATTCACAAAACTAGGGTAAAAGAGTGACAACAAAGGATGAATACACATTTAATACACACAAACTATGAAAAACAGTGCTTAATTTTTTAAGAAGCTAGTGTAATAGTGTGACAACAAAGAGTGAATCCTCAAATACTCTAAAACTTTGAAAATTGATACTCAGTTCGCGGAGTTAGGATAACAGTATGACAACAAAGAGCGAATCCACACATAAACACCCAAAATAAGAAAAAATAAACTCATTTCATAGTCAACAAAATAGTGTGATAATAAAGAGTGAATTCACCCATAAATATAAAATCTTCAAATTGCTACTCATTACATACAATTTATAAATAGTATGTCAACAAATAATGAATCTAGCCATTACCCCAAATTTTGAAAATTTATTGAAACCGAATTTTTAAATTTGCTATAGAGTGACCTCATAGTGTGACACCATACAAAAATTTAATGTAAATGATAAAAATTGCAAGAATAAAATTACAATTTTAACATGCATTTGATTTATCATAAAATATTATTACATAATTTCCAATACAAATAGGGTTTATGTAATATAATTTTTTTAAAATTTTTTTGGGGGAGAATGAGAGAAAACTTAAACCCTTGACTTCAAGAAAGTAAATTATTTACAAGACAAAAAGTATTATTGAATGACAAGCTCATTGCTATGTATTATAAGTTTTGGGGGGTTTAAGCAAAATAAAAAAATAATAAACAAAATCCTTACCATCAATTGTTGATGCTAACAGAGTGAAGTCGACTTTCTTTGCTGCTTAAAGAAAAAAACAATGTTCGTTGATGCTGAATAGAAATATTAAATCGTTGTATTAGAGCAATTTTTTTGTTTCACACAAACTGCTAAAATTGTCCTCAATATAGGACTCCGTAATTTCTGTAACAATATAATCTATTTTTTTAAATAAAAAAAAAAGGAGTCAACAATTCCATTGTAAAACAGTTTTGAAGAAGATATTTTGAGTGATTGAGTCTGCTACACAACAGGAGGATGAGTCTAATCCTCATAAACTTCAACTGCCATATACTTTTGAATGTTGAGTTATAGAATTATTCAAACTCTATCAACTGAGATATTGTCGGACAATTAGACTGTACACGCTGTGTATATTTAGATATATAAAAAAATATAAAAAGTTCAAATTCAAAACTCTACTGCAACTTTACAACTAGAAACAAGATCAATAATCTCACTTTTTTAAACAATATCGTAATTTAATAAATAAGTTGAAAAGTATTGTGTATAGATAAATAAGTTTAAAAAACAATTATATTGCGGGAAATAACTCAAACAAGAAGACCACTAATATAAGCTAAATGGCATAAAATACTTACTTTTCAAAAGTCAATCAAAGTGAAGACCAAAAATCTGGAACCTCACGTAGGACCCACCCCAAAAACATTTCACTTCTCATCGACCCATAGGATTCATGATCTCTGAGAACAGAGTCATATTTTTTAATTTGTCACTGTTAGTCATTGATCTTAACACATTTTCATCATTGTCGGTCATTGATTCTCCATGCAGAGGAGGAGTCAAGGGACTGGCCAACGCTACCGGTAGTAATCCACCTCCACCTCCACCTCCACCACCACCATCACCTTGACCCTTCATCTCAGCCTCCTCTTGAAGTTGCAAAGAAAACTCAAGGCCCCACAAAACATTATTTATTCCTGGTCGTTTGAACCCATTTTCACGCAAGCAACTATCACCTAATTCGCCAAACTTCTTCAAGCACTCTGGCGCAATCTCCTCCCTTATATTAGGGTCAACAATTTGATCAAGGGTCCCATTTTTATAACAATGGCGAGCCCACTCAGCCAAATTCACTTGATCCTCGGGTAAATCTAGAATTATAGCCGGCCTAGCACATAAAACCTCAAATAAAACCACCCCAAATGAGTACACGTCCGATTTCTCTGTCAATTGTTGTCGTTTATAATATTCTGGATCCAAATATCCGAAACTACCCTTCACCGTTGTGCTGACGTGGTTATGGCCTGCATCTATGGGACCCAGTTTGGATAATCCAAAATCAGAAATCTTAGCCACCCATTTCTCGTCCAATAAAATATTGGTGGACTTCACATCGCGGTGAATGATCGTGCGTTTCGCACCTGTGTGGAGATAATGTAGTCCCCTTGCAGTGCCAATGCAAATCTGAAGGCGTTGCTTCCACGGAATGGGTTGTTTCTTTGATTTGTAAAGATGATCACGGAGGGTCCCGCGGGCCATATAATCATAAATCAAGATCATCTCACGGTTGTCGTTGCAATAACCGATCAACGACACCAGATGGAGGTGGCGTAACTTCGATAGCATACCAATCTCTGTTTGGAACTCGCGGGCCCCTTGATTTGATGATGGGTTCAATCGTTTGATCGCAACGGTGGTTGCACCGTTGTCGATGTGGCCCTTATACACATTACCAAATCCTCCTGCCCCGATGACAAAATTGTCATCGAAGTTGCATGTAGCTGATGTGATCTCCTCAAGTGAAAAGCGTCTGCATAGATCAGACGGTAGTGATGAACCGCTGGTTTTTGTGGACTTTGAACGGTCAGATAAGGGGACCCACGACGACTTGGGCTGTGTTGAGCCCAAGGCTTTCACTCTCCTCCGTCGTCGAAAAATCAAGAAACCTAAGATCAAGACTAGAACAGACCCTCCTCCGACTACGGTGCCGATAATGACCGCCCAACTAGGTGTTTTTTTATTGTTCTTCTTCTGCGGTGACAAGGTGAATGGTCCCGGGTGGACTGAGTACAAGTTCAGGGTTTGCCCCCGCCAGACTACCGTCTGTTCTACTCAATTTGAAGATTTCTAAACCATTCAATATAGCATCAGCGTACTCAGGTCTAAAGTCGAGCTCAGGGTACATAGCGAGCCACAAGTCTTGCTTGCTCTGGCGACCATCTGGGTCGGTGACCATGATGACGTAGTCTTTGAACACTGGGATTCTAGTGCCACCACTCCACTGGATAACATCTGCTCCTCTCTGTGCCGTTTGATTGTTGATGTATATTATAAAAACCCTTTGGTTCTTGAGGGTCACCTCCAATTGAATCTCGCAGAAATGGAGTCTGAGAAGATAATAAAACCCAGAATCAACAGGAAATTTCCATGTCAGATTGTATCTTAAACTGTCGTTGCCCATGGTCCTTGTGGTTGTGTAAATGATCTTCGGTGCAGTGTAGGGTGGTGTCTCCTGTCTATATCGGATTGCGACGTCCCTGTGAGGTGTAAACCCATAATCTTCGTAGGTGTAATCGTCGTCCGGACTCCATAATCGAAACATTCCCGTATCATTGGTTATTGAGACCTCATTACCGCCAACATTTAATCTATAGAGAGTCTCAAGAGCAGAGTTGTTATCAATATAAAATCTTTGGTTCTCGCTCACTAGTGGGATTGGATGATCATTGCCGCGAATGTAGAGATTTTCTGGCATTGAAACGACTTCAATGCCATTAACGAAGGCGTAAGAGTTCGGAGAAGGGCAAAAGGTTATATTCAGTATCTGGTTGTCCCTAACTTGACGATGAACTCCTTTATAAGGGAAGCAACTGCGGGTTTCATGGCGGAGACAGTGAGGAAGGCACTGAAGTTGTTTAAGAGGGTGTAGTCGTTGGAAGTGAGGGAGAAGAAAGAGTTGGTAATATCGAGCTCAGAGTAATTAACTGGGTAGAAATAGAGACGAATGAATTTTGGTCCGGCAGAGACTGGGAATGAGTAGGTGAATTGAGAGTGGAAGATACGAGAAGTCTTGTAGGGCACTTGAATGACAGACTTGGAGGATGTAGCATTCGACGACGTGTTTTCAATGTTCGACGGCGAGAATTGTGAGCGGACATCGCCGTCCCAGCTCCGGAGGCTAGCGTCGGTGGTGTTAGAAGATGAACCACAGTCGAGGAGAATGTAGTCGGTGGGAGTGTAAGGTAGCCAGGGGCTGTTGTCATCTACGGCGGCGGCGGTGATGGTGGTGGAGAGGAGGAGGCAGAGAAAGGAGGAGAGTTGGAGAGTTGAGATGAGCATGGGATTGAGCTTCGGAAGAGAAGGGGTTTGATGGTGGTGACTGATCTTGATCATGGTCATGAAGCTAAAAAAGGTAATGGTAATGAACTGTTCCACTATTTGAAATGGAGCTTGAAATATATTCAGAGAAAAAAATATTCAGGGAGGACGACTTTGACTTCCAAGTCTTTGGATTGGTTAACGTGTGCCTAATACTATTTTTGATGAATATGAACTTGAGAACCTTGA